TTCTTTTTCTTCTTCTTCTTCTTTTTTTTTTTTTTTTTTGTCTGTTTGTTTAAATTTTGGAGAGCTCTTGCGATCTTGGAAAAGCCTCAGACGCCATCTACAGTTAAAACGTAGGTAACTACCCTCGCCGGCGCCCCCCCTTCCACGCCCCCCACCCTTTCCACCAAAAAAAGGGGTGCAGCGCGGATTCTGTCTGCTGTGCGGCGCGAGCCGGTAGACCCGTGCTTATTTCCTTTTTCTTTTTGTTTGGTTTCTAACGCGTTGAGACCAAGCTGCTGCCGTGCGCTCCTCGAAGATTGCACAAACTACAGCAGGGCTCCTCCGCCCCGTCTGCGATTCGGAAGGCTGCGTGGGGATCGCTTCGGGAGACCTGGCGCTGCAGCTCCCCACCTTAGCAGTCCAGTTACTCGTCTAGATCCACGTTGGAAAGAGAGAGAGAGAAAGAGAGACAGAAACTAAAAGTGCGGAGATTCTGCAAATCGCTGGCTGCTTTGGGGTAACAAAAGGACCCGAGTTACTGCCGACTGAGCACCCCCGGGAGCCGGGCTCGGAGCAGACGAGGTGCCCGGCGGCGCCCATTTGGGGGCTTCTAACTCTTTCTCCGCGTAGCCCCCTTCCCGTCCCCTCCCCTCTCGTTCCCTTTTAAAATCCGTGGCACGGAGGCGCCTGCAGCCGCACTCGCCAGCGACTCATCTCTCCAGCGGGTTTTTTGTTTGCCGAGTGCGATCCCCACACTCATGAACATACACAGGTCTACCCCCATCACAATAGCAAGATATGGGAGATCGCGGAACAAAACCCAGGATTTCGAAGAGTTGTCGTCTATAAGGTCCGCCGAACCCAGCCAGAGTTTCAGCCCGAACCTCGGCTCCCCGAGCCCGCCCGAGACTCCGAACTTGTCGCATTGCGTTTCTTGCATCGGGAAATACTTATTGTTGGAACCTCTGGAGGGAGACCACGTTTTTCGTGCCGTGCATCTGCACAGTGGGGAGGAGCTGGTGTGCAAGGTAAAGAGCTCGGGGTTTGTTTTTGCTTTTTGTCTTTTAAAAAGATTCCCCGGGGCCGTTTGGAGGGGGCGGGAGGTCGCCAAGCTGCGGAGCCTGGAGGAGGGAGACTCGCGGGATAATTATCCGTGGCCTCGTTAAATGGGTTTATTTATTTGTTCACGTTCGACTAGTTGCGAAGTTTTTAGAGCGTTGCAGACAATGGGGCGGGCTGCGGCGGGGGCGTTTTGGGGAGAGCCCGGGTTTGGGAAGGGCGGCGGGACTGCGCGGGGGCCACGAACACGCGTGCTTCCAAAGGCTCGTGGAGCGCCTCAGCTCTAGGCCGGGTCCCGCTGCCCAAGGGGTTTCTCCTTGTGTCTAGCCCCCTCCCCTTCCACCGTGAAGTAGGGAATCCCCCGCTAATTTTAAGGCACTGATGACTGGGTTCCTTTTGCAGCCATTGTTCTTAGAAGCGTGCAGGTGTTAAACCTTTGTTCAGAAGGTGCCCTTTAAAAGAGACACACAAAGGTGTCCCCTCTGGCTGAGCCAGGGGCCCAGCGCGGGGAAGGAGTTTACAAAGAGCTCTCTGCTCCTTGCAGCCTTGAAAGGAGGTATTGGGGGTGGAAATCAAAGCCACCAGCGCACCTTTGGGTGTAGGAAAGAGTGAGTCCTTTGGGTCCTCCTCTCTTGTCTCGTTTCTTCTCATCTCCAGACTTCCGTGCGCGAACACCCCCTTGCGCCCCCCACCCCCAACACACACCTTTGCCAGTATGGTTTACAGGCCAGCGTTTGGAGCCCCAGGGATTCACAGTGCTAATACAGAGATGGGCACTTCAGTTTCCTTTTTGTCTTTGACCCCAACAGTGACTGGTGTGTCTGTGTGTCTTTGTGTGTGTGCACTCCAGACAAGGGGATGAGAACAGTTGCAAAAAAAAAAAAAAAAGGAATAGAGTAGAGCATAGGGGATACCCAGGCATTGGACAAAGATCAAGAATTCATTGTCAATTTTACATTTGGTCACTCTTGGTTTTTTGGGGGAGGGGTAAGGGGATAGTGAGGAGTGAGGACCTCTGCTGTCTTTGAAATGGGCACTCTGCACAGCTGTGCTACAAATAATACATCACACTTTTTACCATTAACCACAGATTGCTTTATTTCGTGGCAGACTGGAGTCTTTCATTGTAAATATGCGTTTTGTGGAGGTCTTCAGTCAGTTTTGCAATTGCTCAGTTCAGATCTCAGGGGAAAATCAGAGACTCTTCAAATACAGCTCTCTGCTTGTACTGAGCATTTGGTATTTTGCATCTTCTCCCAAGTTATTGAGACCCAGAGCAACTGTGCCCGGTTAACCAAAATTCCGTAGGCTATTCAGAGCTGGATTGAATTCTCAGAAGACCTACAAGGTTGCACAATAGGGGAGTCATCCTTTGAAATGAATGAATTCCACAGAGCTGCCACTCTTCTATGAAATATGCACAATCGCCCAGCAGTGTGTTCACTCCTTTTGCTCAACTTCGGTACAGCATTTTAATATTTTTCAAAGGCTGGAGATGCTTTTAAGTAAAGGGACTCTGCCTTCAAATTCTGCAGGAGCATCTTGCTGTTATTTCTTTGTTTAAAGGCAGAGGTGACCTGCCCCTGCTCTTTCTTTCTCCCTCCAGATTCTTCAAGACATATTTCACTTTGGGCTGACCTTACGGTGTCATTCGTAGACGTGCTCTTTGGCCTGAAACTGTACTTAATCTGCTGGTTTAGTTATTGCAAAGATTGAATCAGCCCTCACCAATTACTGTGGGGCTGCAAGTGGATTTAAGTGCAGTATCATTGTTCTGCTTGGCAGAGGTCATCCCTTTAAGACACAGCAGCCTGTTTTCCTGCCTTTTTACCAGAGGTGACATGGGTGACTTTTTACCAGAGGTGACATGGGTGACTTTTTATGCAAGCATAGCTGTGTATATCCTAGGAAGCTCCAAGTGGTTTTTATAAGGCTGCTTCTATGAGCTACCCTCAGATACACAGTGTGAACTCAGCTTACTGCAAGGCACTGTGAAATCTACACATTGAATCAAGTTCCTTTTGATGTCTCAGAATATAGAGTTCCTGTCTCCTAGCTCTATGTTGACCCAAGGAAAAAGTCTTTGCAAAAACAGATCGAATGTAAAGATGCCATTCCTATAGAGGACTGTCAGGAGAGAATGCTACAGGACACCATTTGGGGTCATTTAACCAAAATAATCAAGCCTGTTTATTGTCTCCCGGAGCCCACTGTGAGCTAGGCAAATGAAGGAAGGCAGCTTTAGGGGGTCTTTACCTTATTATTTTCATGGAAATGCTGGTAGCTACTATGCACATTGACATAATTACTATTTTGGCAAAATGGGCACTTGGTTTTGGGGTTTTTTGGTTTTTTGTTTTTTTTTTGCAAATGCTACTCATGATGGCCTAATCTTCCTGCCTTATCTCAACTGTCACATTATATAACTTAGGCTCCAAATTAAACATTTAAAAGAAGCTGGCAACCAGGCTTATGGCTTGATTTTGCATTTGAAGGTGATGGTTTAAATACCAGTCCAACCCCCATAAATGTCTGTTATAACTGCTACTAAAAGTTTGGTACCTACCCATTTGGGAGAACAGAAGTAATTGCTTTATTTTTCATACTCTGTCCACCATCTTGGAATTTGATCTCTTACAGAGGGTATTGGCTATTTCGTGAAGCTGCCATGAATATGTTGTTTTTTTGTTTTTGTTTTTGTTTTCTTAAATTTCTGTGTCCGTTCAGTTTTTCATCAGTGGGACGGGGTAACTGACTGAAGGTGCTGAGCAAAAATCACCTTTTATTTTTTTAAAAATGCAACTTGAAGGAGGAAGTATATGATAAATCATCGTAACTCCACGAGCACTGGAGAGACCAAGCCTGCAGCCTCCTGCTTCAGAACCCATCCCCCCACCCCCCCACCCCCGTTATATAACACGGGGTGTTTACATTAGCCACTGCAAAACGTTTATTACTCTCTGTGAAATTTTTGAGGCTTTCCTAGGTTTCTGCTGCCCGCAGCCTGGGTGTTAAAGTTGACTCAGGCATTTCAGATTCCTAATTGAACGGACCTCTGAGGTCACTGCTCGTGGGTCATCATTTGACAGTATCAGGGTGTGATTTGTGGTCTCTGGAGGCATTGAAGTATTCATTCTTAAATTCTAGCAGCTGTGCCGCCTTCCTGAGATGCCTCATTATGGTTCATTCACAACGTTACTTTGCTTCCTCGCCCTGGGTTAGCACCAGCCCTCCTGAGGTTCTTCCTATCCTTGTTTGACTCACAGATTTCTTTTGGTTTTTGAACCGAAGGGCGACTTAACTTCAATCATGGATCTTAAATGGCAGCCTGTGTCCCTGGATGGGTTTCCGAAGGCCTGTGAATCCCCTGAAAATGAATCCAGTATTGTGCGTGCATTGGAGGATGGGCATTGTCAGCTAGAGGGGACAGAGCTTTTATCAGGTTCTCACGTGGGATCCGGACCCAAAAAGGTCAACAGGGTTCTAAATCAACGTCTCCAGGTTAGGAAGAGGAGGGAGGCCCAGTGACCCTGAGTGCTTTATCCATCTTATCCAGATTATTGGTGGCCAAGCCAGGATTAGAGCCTCAGTTGGGTGATTTCTAGGCCATGCTGCAAAATGAGGATCAAGGAGAGGATGTTCTCACTAATGAAAAAGATTTAAGAAGCTAAATGGTGGTGCACGGGGACCATTTAAGGGTTTGTTGCTGGAGCCTTCTTGGCCTGCAGTGCTTTCCAGCAAAGCACCTCATGCCTGCCCCTCACTCATGCAGGCACAGAAGGGAGTCATGCGCCTACATTCCCAGGCAGATAGTAAAACCACATTCCAAACCCAGGGATTTGTATTCCTGATTTAGTGGAGGTCTTGAAATGAATGAAAGCTTTTTTTTCTTATGACCTCAAAGATTCTCTGTAGCGTTAATTCCTCTTAGGATGGTTTCAAAAAGGTACTGAGGATGGATTTTCTTTTTAAATAACCCCACAGTGAGGTGGCATTTCACAGGCTAATTTTGATTCATAGAAAATCATTGCATAACTGATTCATTGAGCTAGATAGTGTGGAGGGAATTGAGAATTGTGTCTGCTTTCTTTCCTATTAAGGACTGTGTGTCCTATTCCTTAGCTCTGCCGCTGGGGCTCGATTTGACTTGTTCTCTGAGCCTCGATATCCACATCTGTAAAATGAAGGTATTGAATTAGAGGACCTTAAGGCAAAGTCTGCATATTTGCTCTGTTAATTGCTAATATGTTGTAGAGCGCTGTACAACACAGTTGCGTAGTATAAAATACATTTTATGTATTTTATATTTTATATATTTTTTATACAATCGCTGTGGTTGTGCAGTGATGCCCGCTTCTGTCCTGTTTTGTTTTTTGGAAGGAAAATAAGGCTTTGTCTGCGTAGCTTGGGGTGGGTCACTTTCAGATTTTGCCTTAGTTCTTTTATAAACAGGTGATTGGGGTAGAGAGAAAAAAGTGATAAGACTTAACCATTTGTGTACCGTGTTACGTCTTGCACAGCGTTTTTACCTCCACGTTGTCAAGTAATCCTCCCAGCACTGTGAGTCAAGGGTCATTTGCCCATTTTACCCGTAAAGATTTGGAAGCTCAGAGAGGTCAAGCAGCTTATTCAACGTTACACAGCTGGGAGCAGGCAGGGCCAGTGCGGTCTGGGTCCAAGTTCGGTCTGCCTTCTATCTCCTCAAAAGCCTGTTCCATTCTGTGATTCTGTGGTTTAAGACGCACCCCTGACTCTTGGTCTTGTCGTGAATCCTGTCCTAGGTGTTCGATATCAGCTGCTACCAGGAATCCCTGGCCCCGTGCTTTTGCCTGTCTGCCCACAGCAACATCAACCAAATCACCGAAATCATCCTGGGGGAGACCAAAGCCTATGTGTTCTTTGAGCGAAGCTATGGGGACATGCATTCGTTTGTCCGCACCTGCAAGAAGCTGAGGGAGGAGGAGGCGGCCAGACTGTTCTACCAGATCGCCTCGGCTGTGGCCCACTGCCATGACGGGGGGCTGGTGCTGCGGGATCTGAAGCTGCGGAAATTCATCTTTAAGGACGAAGAAAGGTGAGTGTCGTTCCTGTCCAGAGCCCGGACTCTGACGGGCTGCTCGGGAGCATGCTTGCTTGAGAGGTTGGAATGGACAGTTTTTTTGTTTTGTTTTGTTTTTTTGCTGCCTGCCATCCAGGTGAGAAGGAAGGTTGAGCAGACAGAAGGAGGTGAATGGATATTGCGATGTTTTAAGTGCCCCGGGAAACTAAGTTGCCGCTACTCCAGCCATGTTAACGAATGCTCAGAGGTCGGGTGCCAGGATTGTCTGTGACCTGGTGATTAGGTTTTTTTTGGTTTTGTGAACTCTGAAGATGGCTGCAAGCCTGCGTGACATTTTCAGTGCGAGCAAGGCATGATTTTGCTTTTGAAATAATCCTACCTTCAGAACGCTCAGTGCCTGTCCTCACTGATTTCTAATTCATTCATTCATTCCTTCACTCAGTAGATGTTTCCTAAGTGTACGTGTATGTACGGCTAAAGTGTGTGTGTATTACTCACATTTCTCAGTACTGTGAATATCGGGGTGCATTAACTAGTCAACTCACCTACAAAGGAATGCTCCAAGCCCTGAATGAAGACTATATACGGGGTTAGATGGGACCTGGGGGCTGGGATGTCCGTTTTAACTAGGACTTGGAAGTCAGGAAAGTTTTTATAGGAGAGGTGCTTTTGGAGCTCACTTGAAAGATGAGTATGTTACAGACAATGTGGGAAGGACCGGCGTTGCAGGTAACGAAGGTGTCAATACATACACACAGCAATGTGAAGGTCTGGGTTATTGTAGGAGACAGCTGGGCAGGACACCGGGCATCTGGGTTCCACTCATGGTTCTTCTGCTCACTCATGACATTCTGTTGAGCAAACCCACTGGGGCCCGCTTTCTCTTCCAGCTGACTTCTCTTGTAAAACTCTTTCGAGCCACTCTTTTTCTTTTCAAGAATGTGCTTTTTTAGAGGGGTGGAGGCAAGTGATTTATATTCATTGCTGACTATTCCAAAGATCGTTCTAGAGTTTCTACCCACGTGGGTCGTGGAATTACCATGAAGGCCTTGGGCATCCTCGACTCCTCCTAGGGAAGTGGTTGGTGAAGTGGAGGTCCATGGGCACAAAGCTACTAAGGCCCATTTGAGTACAAAGCTAGTGCATGCCATTCATTTACTCACTCAACAAACATATCTGGAGTATTTTTTTTTTTTTTAATCTGGAATATCTTTTATGTGTCTGATGATGAACTGGCTATCAACCCTTTCTACCTACCAGTTACTGTGCCATGTATCTAATGGCCTGTGATATTTTAGGCTATTGCTTAGGGAAGTCTGTTGATGTCCTATAGAAAAAATATATAATGAGATCTAATGGTGTCTGCTTTGGTTTTTTTCATTTTATGGTTAGAGCTAATTGGGAGGTAAATGTCTGGGAAGCATTTAGGGATTAGCAAAGGTAAAGGGCCTGTGTTTACTTAATGCAAGTGGAATAATTTGATGACAGTTTATATATATATATAT